CCTCCTCTATGGTTGTAAAACGTGGACCCCTTGGAAGGAACATCTGCACCAGTTTTAAACATTCAGTCTGTCCTGCCTACAATCCATCATGGGTTTAACAAGACTGGATTGTGTGAGAAGCTCACTGATCTTTGAAAGATCTGGACACAGGCCCATTAGTGAGCTCCTCTGGCAGGCGAGGGTGCATTGGGTAGGCCATGTAGTCATTCTCACATACCCAGCCGCTGCATGCCCAAGCAGCTTACATTTAGCCAGATAAAGGGGGTTAAATGGGAATGGCATGGGCTAGAGAAAAGATGTGGAGCTCACTGGACTTTCTGATGACTTGTACCAGCGGTGTTAAGATCAGAATATTTGGAGGAGGCTCTTGAAGGATGCTACTGGGCAGTTTGAGGCAGTCGCTGTCCGGCAGCAACGGAGGGAAAAGGAGCGACGCTCACAACAACGAGCGGAGTGCTGAGTGGCTAAAATACAGAAAGTAGACACAGTGAGAAGCACAGGTGGTGCATTTACCAGTATTTTCAGTCAGTCAATCCACAACACCTGAGTCTGTCACTTAACGTGCTGGCGAGCCTTCGACGCTTCACTTAGCCACAAGGTACATCGTAGTCTGGCACAAGCGCCGCGTTTATGATACCGCCACTTAGCGAGGAATGGCGGTTGTTCTTGTGTATGGGGCAGTTGTTGGAGAGAGTGGAGGTGTTCCCCTACTTAGGCAGTGTGCTAATGAACAGCTCTGGTTTGGCAGCAGGGGTCTCATATCGAATCAGTCGAGAGGCATTATGTTTCTATTGGCTGCGTAAGTAATGCTGTGTCAGTAATGTGTAAGGTGTCTGGCCTGTCACTCCAAACGAAGCTCCTGGTCCTCTCAGTTACAGTTATGCTTTCCCGTCTCTGTGTTTGTGCAACATGGACCCCATTTACAAAGATACCTGCGCCGGCTTGAAACGTTCAGGCTGGCCTGCCTGATATCAATTCTGTAATTATTAACCAGGCTGGTTAACAACAGCTGAAGAAGAGTGTGCAAATAAGCGTAGCGGAATGCATGCTTAGAATTGCACTGAAAGAAAGAGTGCCAACCACATGGCTCAGGGAACAAAGATATAAGAGGCATTATTAACTTGTATAAAGTAAGTGGGCTTAGATAGGACACATCTCCAGAAGGGATGATGGCTGATGGAAGAGACTATTCATGGAATATCTGCCAAAGAGGATGACTTGTCTCAGAGGATGACCACTGCAGAGATAGACCAATCCAAAAGTAACATGTTAAAACTCGTGAAGCAGACAGCTGTTAACGTACGTATTTATCATTTTGCAAGCAGGTGCCAGTGGGTTATAACCATTGCTATGCTTGGCATGAGTTCCAAACGCTGCCCACATATTAAAATAAATATATCCTTGTATCCTGAGAAGTCCCTGGAAGCTCTGCCTCACCGTCACACACAATGTGCAGTGCTGTGCCAAGGACTAAAGTCATCAACTGCCCCCCCCGCCCGCCCCCCCCCCCGGTGTTTCTCAGCAGAGACGGATCACTCCCCTTGTGGCGCACGTAAATGGACCGTTTGTCAGTCCACTGTTGAACGAGGCTCTCCCCCACACCATGTGGGATCGTGGGGGTCATTTGATCGCACTTCAACCTTGCCGATCGGTACGGGTTGGTGAAGGCAGGGAGCATCGTCATGGGAGCAAAGAAGTGCAGTACAATAACTGCCAATGGAGGGCTGTACTGTTTATGTTTCATGGCAGTTCTCGCGTAGCACACTGGATGTTTCGGCCAAGAGAAACAGGAGTGCCACTGGAGTGCCATGAACTTTTGTACTACAGTGAGTATCCTTTGTGACGTGCTGCTCCGCTCCACTTACACAAGGCTTTGGCATCAGGGATACGCAGAAGCATCAGATAGAAAATATCTCATAGATCAGTGCAGGGCTGGCGATCCATCTTTTTGAGTAATTGCTCTTCATTCAGAGTATTTTTGGCATCGCCTTCGCATGTCAGGATTTGAATGACTTTGGCCTTATTACAGCAGTTCTTTTGTCGAGTGGATTGAATTCGTCTTGCCTTCTGGCATAGGAGGCATGTTATAATTCACACCCCACCACCCCTTCGGTTTTTGATTAGTTTTTACAATCGGGGTCCTAGGTTGCGTGTAAACTGATAATAATGCTTTTGATAATTTAGTCATTTTCCCATGCCCAAAGCACTGAACAGTAAAAAGTATTCTACATTATACATACTAAAACACAATTATTACATGAAAAAAAACAATGGCATATATAGAAAAAAAATGCAATATAACTACAGGCTTCTCATGAACCAAATCATTCACACATGTATCAAAAGGGAACACTTGCAATTGATTCTTGTACACATGTTAGTATCTATTTTAATCAATGGATTGCTGTGTTATTTAATGTGCCGTGTGAAACCACCAAAGCAAAATGTGTCGATTTTAAAACAGCTGCAAACACTGCCATATGCCTGGACCGTGCTACCATTAGATCGTTGTATAGTGGATAATTCTACTGGTAGGAACCTCCTGGTTACACCAGTCCACAGGGGATTATTGTGTTCGTCGTGCAGGGAGGGGCTGGGTGGGGAGGGAGGGGCTGGGTGGGGAGGGGAGGGTGTGGGGCTAGGTGGGGAGGGGAGGGTGGGGAGGGGCTGGGTGGGGAGGGTGGGGAGGGGCTGGGTGGGGCTGGGTGGGGGGTGGGAGGGGTGGGGCTGGGTGGGGAGGGCCGGTCACCCCGTGGTGCCCTTATAAAACTCAACGTTTAACCTACTCACTTCGGCTTGTGCCCGCCCTCACAGTCGGGCATATTTGCGGAATACACCACGCCGCCGTTGACCCTGGCCATTGACCGAGCAATCCAACGTTCCTACCAGCTCCCTCCGCAGGAATGTGTTTATAGTCATTTAATAAGGTGCTGGGTGGATAATTGCACCGCAAGGATCGTGACAGATGGTGGCGGCTTGGTGGGGGGTGGGGGACCTTTATCCAGCAGTGGATTGATGACGACGATAGTGGATAATGTCACACAGTTGTATGTGGAAGCAATAAATATACATCCCAACACGTAGGCTTTTCCAGACACATTTTGCAAGATTGGTTTTAACGCATTCTTCCTAAACTTTGCGGGCACGCCGAAATTATAACATTTAATATTTCAATTTATTAGGCTATGCCAAGTGTTTGGATGACACAAAATTGTCCAGATCATTACGTGGCCTAACCCAAGACCGGCTATTGACTCAATACACAGTCGAGTATGTTACAATCACCTAACGATCCCGTTTCAACTACGTAATGGTCCCCTCGCCAGGGCAGTAAACAGGGGGTCCCACGTTCCAGGTCCTTCACTAACAAGCTGGGACACGGCAGAGTGGATGGCAGCTGATCGCTGCTTTCGCGACACAGTTTCCCCCACGGGAGACTGTGGAAGTCACCCTTGGATAATCGCCTCTGCAAAACCTGACCAAAAAGCCGCTCTCTCTTCAGTCGTTCCCGTGGAGATAAAGCAGATAGATCCCCTCCCCACCTCCTTGTGAGGATTCCTCGATCGGCTCCCACCTTCGCGTGACACCTGAGGCCGTTTCTCGTTTGTTTTGGCCTCTCCAGCTCCTTTTGGCTTGAGAGAGAGAGAGAAAAACAAACACACACTTCCATCCCCACCCAGTGTCAGGGGGCGCTATGCCCCCTTTCCCTAACATCCGATACTTCCCCACCCACTCTCGACCAGCGCACACGAGAACGCACATTCCAGCCCGCATTTCACACGTGCACACCACACCCCACTCACGGCACACCTCTGCGCTCACGCCATTCTCCCACAGCAATCTGTACCCGCTCGCCGCAAACAACTGCACGCCGTTCGAAGCGAGTAAAAAATGCCAGGACACAAACCAACCAAACCGACTATTTGCGGACATCCCGATTTCGAATCAAACAACCCTCGCCAGTGGCGCTATGTTGCCACGGTGGAATGATCAGCGCACTTGACAATCGAGAGGTCGGTGGCTATTATCTCCCAGTGCGTGCGGCAGTTGAAACAACAATGGGCAAGTTCCCACTTTACTGAATTCGAGTAAATGGAACGTCCTGGTAATGAACGACACGCAAGAGGGAATAACGCCGCCCCAAAAGATCCACGCATGTGAGTTGCTGATCCGATTTGCTGTACTGCCTTTTCCCCGGCGATCTCTTCCAGCTCAGAGGGATTTTGGTGGTGGGGTGTGAGGGGGGGTTCAGAAATCAGCACGATCCACGAGCCCTCGGGTCACGCGCGTGTGTCTAATTGGCGCTGTGTGTACGGATTGCACTGACAGGCAGGCGGGTGGGTAAGGGGCCCTTTTTTTGTTACGAAGAGAAAACACATGCGGGGTATTTATGTTACAAATCTCTGATAATTGTGTTCACGTGATGCAATGTGAGTGGATAATCGTTGTGTACACACTCAGCGTGAGCACAAAGAGAGCCCCTCGGAGCTCCACACAGATGGGTTCACGATCCAACTCGCCGTGCTGCCATCTTTCCTCGCCACTTCACAGAGTCGAACGAGCACGTCACGGCCCGATGTAATCCGCCAACCCTCTCGCCTCGATAGTGCTGGGTTACAGGCATGCGCCATTGCTGCTGATGACAAAACTCGTCATGATGATAATGATGATATCATTTTTATACTGCAACCAGCAGACCAAAGCTGCGCAGCTCTGTGATATAATCAGACTAACGAAAATAGTTTGGCAATTATTTATTAATTAAACAGTGCCTTGCTTTACCCCCACGGTGTCTCGGGGCTCTCTGCATCACTTTTCGTATCAAGCGCTTGAAAGGGGCACCCCCCAGTGGCAGTTGTCCTTGTGGATATAATTATTCTCACATACGCTTGCTGTTAAAGTGAGCTGACCGCATGCAGACACATGTTGTGTGGGTATTCCTTTGCTGTTCCAATTAAAAGCTGAACGCCCGTCGCCTGTGCGATGTTTTTTTCTTTCAGTGTCCGAACTTCAAGAAGAGGGGAAGAATGCGATCAACTCCCCTCTCTCACCAACTCCCCTGGATCTCTACCCAGAGGACACCATGCTTGGTACGTGTTTGCCGGAGCTTTTCTGGAGCTACACTGTTTAAGAGTGACGTAGACCTATCTGCATTACGGACAATTCAGTGATGCTGTTGCAGCAATACCAGTGGTGCACAAGCACAATTAATAAATAAAAAATCTACACGATCGTCAATAACACCGCCTCAAAGAGAATGCCCCTTCTGCATAGCACATCGAGAAGGGCCATTGCCCGGAACGTCACCTGTTTTTATTTTTGCCATAGGCGGAGTTTGACTTCTTTATTTGGGGGAGGGGCAGGGGTTCGCTTCGTCCCTCTTATTAGGAATTGCAGGTGCATATAATGAATGTATTTATTTGTTATCTTAATTGTAAGCGACTGAAAAAAAGTAATAAAGGTGTCTAGTTTGGCGCGTATTGTATGCACCGTGCGTTAATGCGTACATGCGGGGCACGCTTCATGGTCCCTTCTGGGACATCGCATCAAATACGAGCCACCCGTAATCAGGCGCTGCAGCCGAATACCCAGGAGCTGATCACGTGGTGGGGGGTGGCGGGGGGGGGAGACCCTTCACGAGCTGGCGACAGATCACGATGGGGGCCAAATCTAACGTGCGAGTGGCTGGGGAAGATGGACGGATGCACGGCCACGCTTGCGGCAACCGGGCGTCGTGGTGCTGTTCCCTTTTAAGGGTCGCACATGCGCGCGTGGGGAATGTATCCATTGAATTATCACTGTGTTTATCCAAGGATAATGTTGTGGATAAGAAAGGAATATCTTTCCCCACAGAAAAAAGAAGTGAAAATGCCTCTCCCCAACTAAAATTGTGCTGATCCGCCAACGGGCGGGCATTGCGCCCGCCACATGATTATGTAAATAAAGAGCGTGTGTGGCATTTGCGATTTTACAACATTCCTGCACAATGGGGTGGAGCGGTGGCTCAGCGGTTTGTGCGCTGCGCAATATATACTGGGTTCTGCCCCCCCCCCTCCATCAACTTGCACTGACGCACAGGTTCCATTGACCGATATACCTTGGCAGATCGTCCATCCCGAAGTGGACAAAAGGCTGCGTACTATAATTAGTGGTACTTCACATGAACTGAATATTCAACAAGCAATTGCATGAAACTGAAGCTGTTAACCTTGCTGTGTGTCGTTTTGGCAGAGGAGAATGAAGAGAGGAGTATTATCGATCCCAACTACAAGGATGAGCCAAAGCTGCAGGAACTCATTCGGGTACTGGGCTCACACCGTTACTGATTTTGCCTGCAGTTCCACTAAGGCCGTGCTATGCGCAATTAGGATCACACACAGCATGCGTCACCCCCTACTGTGATATTACCGCAGATTACCTTAATGGATAGAGGACTCCAGAGCTTGGGAAATCGTTTGGACCGGCTAACCTGGCTGCTGCCATTCCCGCTCGTCTGTGGTTCCTCGCACCTCTGAGTCATTCTCTGTCACTGAAGGCGAGCGAATACTATACGGCACGTCAAAAGTTGAAGTTGTTATCATGACTTTGTCTGTGAACACAGCACCTTCCGATAAGAATGGCGTGTATACCAATATTATCCGTAATAATTATTTTGGGTTAGATCGCATAAAATAAACAACACATGCCAATTAGGTACTAGGATAGCACACACCGGTGTGCTGTACTAGTAACTAATTGGCGTGTTCTGTTTTCGTCACAAACCTTACTAATTAGCTGTGTCGGGTGGTGGTGGGTTTAACGACGCATTCATATTCATGCGATCTAACCCAAAAAAAACTCTTGTGGATAATATCGTTTGCGAAAGCCTACGTGTTAAATTGACCAATGGTACTCGTGATGTCATTTGCTATGACTACTGCGTGATGCACTGTAACCGTGCGCTTGATTAGAACGGAGTGACGCTGTCCTGACAGGTGCTGATCGACTGGATAAACGATGTCCTCGTCGATGAACGCATCATTGTGAAGAACTTGGAAGAGGACCTCTACGATGGGCAGGTTCTGCAGAAACTCTTGGGTGAGTGTGGCTTGCCGTCGTCTGTCGATTCTTGAGACTCGCTGAGATTTTCCAATCATGATTCGAACTTGTAACGCTGCGCCGCCACCACCGCACAGTGTTCGTTCGCTCACTCGAGAAGAGAATATACGTATGTTTGTTGAACTTCTTTCGCACCATGCGTAGCCAACCGTGCTAATCCGAGGTGCGAGATGAAAGACGACAAACTAAACGCACACAAACAAAAAATTACTCGGAGGTGCGAGGAGTAACCACAGATGAGATGGAAGGCAGCCATGCTGGTGAGCCGGCACTACCAACGATTGTCCAAGCTCTGCCGTCCCCTATATAGATTAAATATCTTTTCAGATAATTAACGAGTGTTTACATGGGCAAGCAAACCAGAGCGCCCGGAGAAAATCCACGCATGCGAGGTCAACACTATCCTATACAGACGGAACAGGTGCAGTCCGCATTTTTGCTGGTACTCCTTGCCACAACATTTTTGCGATCCCCCAACTCTCGCCACGACAACGCTGGATTACAGGCGTGCACCACCGCTGTTCGCGAAGATATACTTAAGAATAATAATCCAGGAGACTCGATTATCCACGCTAATGATGGGGAGGATGGCCAAGGATGATTCAAAATCGCGGATAATAAAAAAAAAATCCATTTACCACAGATCTCTATCCCAAAAACCACGACAATAGGTATAAATTATTGTCCAAGTTAAGCAAATTGAGTTCGCTAATGGACAAAACAAAAATTTGTAGTACAGACTCAACCGATCAATAATGTGCTTGCTCAGTGATAACACTTTCCTGTTCCCACACAGAAGAGTCTGCCCACAAAGTGGATGGCAGAGCCACGCCAATCAAAATCAATCAAACTCTGCCCATTGTTGTAGAGATATGCAACTACTGTACTGTAGAGGAGATCACGTGGATTTCGGATTAACAGGAGCAACATATTTGTTTGGTTTAACCACGTGACTTATTACTAATTTGGGCTTAAGGGAAAATCCACCAGTTATTAATTTATGATGAAATCGGATAAACCTCACGAGGATAATAGTCTACTGTAATAGTTAAAAATAACGCAGGCCTCGTGTCTCTTATTCATCCACGAGGTGGTCGTCTGTGACCGCGGCCGCGTGAATCCCGTGTTGTGTGCTCCCCTGCGCCTGTCCCCGGCCGGTGGCAGAGGCCCTGGGGCAGCAGAAGTTGAACGTGGCGGAGGTGACGCAGTCGGAGATTGGACAAAAGCAGAAGCTTCAGACGGTGCTGCTCGCCGTCAATCACATCCTCAAGCCCCAGCAGTGGAGCATCAAGTGGTCCGTTGACCGTACGTTTTCGTTTGCATCAGTTGCTCGTTACGAACTAAATTGGGATGGCACACGCAGCAGCAGCGGCAACCGTCGACCTCCAAAACTCACGAACCGTTGCCCCTTTTGCTGGCCGGGTGCCGAGTCTCCTTGTGCCGCACAGGGGCAGCTGGCACTGGGAGTGCGCGCTGCCCAATGCTTTGAGATTAGACGGGATGCAAGTCGCTTGTTGTGTGTAAAGCACTCTTAAGACACGTCGGCGTGGAGGAGGGCCGCTCCATCATAAATAAATCATTGCCATTTATTATTATTCAGGTTCATTCCCCACTATACACGGATGGAATGGTAACAAGACACGCGTATGGCAGCGAGTTAACAGATCGATGTTTAATTCTAACCGTGAGAAACCAGGGACCTATACGATTGACTTTGACCTTTTACTATTACTACCCATGACCTCTGGCAAAGACAAAATCTGATGGCCTGCTAATTGCAGTTAGTGGTCCGCCACCTGTCGGACCAAGCGTGCTATAGCACGTCATGTGGAGATGCTGCCCATGCAAGACGAAAAAGGGGAGTCTGTACCATGAGCAGATACTTCACCATGTCAGCCATAGGAGAGTGGGTGAGTGTCTGGTGTGTCTGTGAGTGGTGCGTATGAGTGGTGAGTATCTCGTGCGTATGAGTGGTGAGTATCTGGTGAGCATGAGTGCCATTTGACTGGTGTCCAATGACCCTATCTGGTGAGTATTATTTGAGTGTCTGGTGAGTTTTGTGTTTGGTGAGTGGGGAGCGTCAGGTGACTTATTATGTCACCCCATACAAAAGGGACGGGCTTCCCTAGAGTTAATTATCATAATGATTGATGATTACATTCTTACACGTCCTAAATCAGATTCAAATTCAATCTGCATTAAAGAACATTAAAATAATGCATACGACAATGACAGCCGTGTGTTGACGTGTAAGTGAATGTTATTGGGCAGTACTGGCGTTATAAAGCGGGGCTAATGGCAGTGATGAAGTGCCCTTGTGTAGCAGTGTCAACAGTAATCCTGTGAGTGCTGTGTAAATGCAATGAGGCCACTCTGCCGATTGGAATGAAAACGCCAGCTGCTGCGATTGCCAGCAATGCCCTCTGTTTGTCGTTTAAACCAAATTCCCTACCTACGGATGTACTGTATGTTGAACTCCTTCCACACCATACGTAGTCAACCATGCTAATTTGAGGTGTGGGGGATGGACAACAAACTAAGCACAAAAAGCAGTTCTAAAGAAGTGAGTTTTCAATCTAGATTTAAAATCTCCACACCCCGTTCACACACTTAGTCTGGTTTAGTGATAATGTCCCCATCTAAAACCAAACTGATATTCCTCAAGTTCTTAATGGAATTTGCTATGTTTTTTAATGTAAATATATAGTGCAGAGGGCTAGCATTGCATTGCACGCCTAACCCTGCGACCCGAGTTAGATTCTCGCTCACGGACAACACCAGTGACAATTATCTGAAGCGGTTTCTGGGCCCTCCCGTAGGTCGACTCAGCCTTCAATGAGTACAGGGACTCCTCTACTCACAAACATTCAACTTACGAACTTTCAGAGATACGAACAAACCTGTTTGTTTGTATCCCGAGCGCGTGACCATCCAGCTGTTGTTTGTATGTCCAGTTACCTGTTTGGACCGAAAGTTCTAAGTTCAACTGCCACGCAATAGATGCCGGTGGTACCATCTACATCTGCAGAACATGGAGAGCCAGCGGCATCTACAAGATATACATATTTTAAAGCCATTCCCCATGTTTAGCCTACACGTGTTTGGAATCGACAGAAGTAAAGTTGAACTTACGAACAAATCGGCTTACGAACAGAGCTCTGGGACTTAACTCGTTCGTAAGTAGAGGAGTCATGTTTATCTTACACCAAATTTCGATTTAAAGACATGTGGAGTTCTTTAGAAACTCCTTTTTTGTTTTCCACATAATGCACTAGCTTGATACGCGGTGGTTTGGGCTGTTGCAGTTCTTTATTATTCAAATTTCCCTCCCTTTATTACTGCTAATCCTACATAATACACTAGCATAATATGACCCCCCACCGCCTACACATTCCACAAGGAGTGACTAATTCCATATCTGCATTTGCTAAATTCCTCTGTTGATATGTAAACTCCTTTGTCAAGGTGCTGTCCTCCTCCCACCAAGCTTAAAATACGCTGCCAAGCTTAGCAGTGTTCATTAAGACGCTGTCTTTCCGACAACTCTGTTTCTTCACCTGATGACAGCTGCTTGCGTTGTGGCCGAAACGTCGTGAGAATTTTATTTTATTATGTTTTATTTATATTATTGTATTATTTCCCTTCTACGTGACTTTACCAAGAGAACCAAGAATATCTTACACCAGCAAATGTCCACAATCTCATAGGAATCATGTGGTGATGCTGCTGCTACTGCTGCTTTGGCAGTGGTGCACAATGGACAAAAACACTCGGCACGTTTTTGTTAATAACAACACTGCTAGGGCTATGGGCCCTTCCCTCCTTCATAGCAACATAAATCATGGCAAATGAATACACTCTGATTAGCACGGTTGGCTACGTACGGTGCGAAAGGGGTTCAACATGCATACATACAAGATGGTCGTGGGTTGAAACTTTGCTCTCTATTGTACACAACTTGCATGTGCATTTGGCAGCATTTTAACCTTTAAATTACAGCCAGTCACTCGGGACATTGATGCAACAAAGCAACGCCTTTTTTGCGAGTTAACCGCACCGGTTTTGTCTTTTCGTGGCTTCCTTCTTGCGGCAGTGATTCACTCCAAAAACCTGGTGGCCATCCTCCACCTGCTGGTGGCGCTGGCCATCCACTACCGCGCTCCCATCCGCCTGCCCGAGCACGTGACCATCCAGCTGCTCGTCGTGCAGGTGCGGCGCCGGGCTCCCACGCGCTGCTGCGTCTCCGTGTGCGCAGAGCTTCCTGCGTGCAGCTGTGGCTGCAGGGCCCACTCGTGTGTGTGTTGGTGGGATATGGCGCAAATCTGAGATTGTAAACGAACGCTCTGTTCAACTCCCACCTGGAATTTCTAGAGGTAATCCATTTGCACGTGTAAAATAAAGCACTCACCTGCCTTACAAGTGTGCCACTCCTTCAGCAAAGGACTTCCAGATATTAATATATTTTATAATGAGACCCACGGTAACTTTTATGAAAATAACAAATACCAGGATCTTTTCTGTGGCTTAGAGTGAAGCCTTCGTGTACACAGTAATATGCAGCGGCTACTGTCTCTCGTTGTTCAAACATGAAGTCATGGGCGAGCAGATGGTTTTAATTCACTGGGTTTGATTTGTACCGTGTGGCATGCACTGTCACGCTTCGTGTGATTTTGTTCCAGAAACGAGGAGGAAGCTTGCAAACGCGTCAAGTGCAGGAAAAAATCACCACCACTACTGAGTGAGTGGAACGGCAACCATATCTTCACATTTAAACTCATTTTGATTATGATTATTATCCGCTGCTACTAATTGGCAGCGGAGCACAAGCACAATTAACAAAACAACTCAACACATTCGTCAATAGCACCGTGGCCTTCCTTCACGGCCATGTGCTGGGGAAGAAAGAACGATTTTATCAATCCGACTTTTCCTAAACAATTCCCAAAATGTCACATTTATTTCATAACCCTTGGCTCATTAAATGGGTGACCCGACTTAAGTTTCTCTTATGCTCTTGAATGATTGATATTTCCAGAATTACTTGCGCATCCCGTTAATGATTAATATTTGTATTTGCAGGTCAATGACGGGAAGATTTGGTGAGTACAAATTGCCGAACCCTCAAAATCCGGCGCTTTTAAGATGATAATCGTGGCGATTTGTTTTTGTCGCCCTTCGTGTCATCACCGTCCGCGTGTTGCATTTCTATTTGGCAGAGCGCGACGCATTTGACACGCTATTTGACCACGCTCCCGACAAACTGAACGTCGTCAAAAAGGTACGGAAATGTCCGCGCGCCATTGCGAGCTCACGCGCATAGCACACCTTCGTTCTGGGGAGACCGGCAAAAAACATCCGTTTGTGCTATCTGGCGTGACGATTTCAACTTGCATCTTCTTGGGAATTTTTTTTTTCTTTGCAAGTATTTGGTTACAATTGTTTGGCCCATTGTGGTTGCTTCACTTTTATTCTGGCCTTTTAAAAACATGTTTACTTCTCCCCCCCCCCCCCCCCCCCCCGCTTATAACGTCCCACGGAAGGCATTTGCAGACCTCGTAGAACCTACAGGCTATCCTGGCCACATGCCGGCTAATATAAAAGCGTCGGGTGTATCCCGCATCCAAAATGTGTTGAAAATATGAACCCCCCCCCCCGATGCGTTGTAACAAACCTATGAGTTGGTTGTTTCATCGTTGACAAAAAAGTGTTTACCCCTAAACCCCTAGCCATCACGACTGTTCATTGGATGCCTTCAGATAATATCACTTATTTTGCAGCACTTCACATCGATATATTTTGCAAGTAACTGTTGGAAAAGTATCGCTCCAGTTTTCGATTCCTTCTGTAACGTGGTTGTGTTTTGCCATGCGGTTGTTTTTGGGCTGATTTCTATTCGCTTCGTTGTTGTACTTGTTAAGTGATTGTTTTGGTAACCGTGGTCGCTCTTGTGAACGAGGCAATTCTCGTCCCTCGAGTTCTCACTGAGTTAAGCAAAATAATGTAAAGACCAGATTTGAAGCTTTCGTGACTGCAAGGATTCATACTCTGTTTTTTTTAGTAAAGTCACGTAGGTTAAAAAAGAAAACAAATAAATTAAATCACGACGTTTCGGAGGCAACACAAGCTTCCGTCTTCAGGTGAAACCGTCACAGCAAAATTGCTGTATCAAGTGAAGAGACGTTCCAAGAGGCACGACCTTATATACTGGTTAAGGGGGGAGGAGGAGTTGTGAGATAGTCAGTACTGCTGCTGGAACTGAGCCTTTGTAATGTAGATGGCAGAAGTAGATAAGCAAGCTAGGATTAAGCCGCCTTTTGTTATGCTGCTGGGTGGGTAAAATTCAAAGCAGGTAACTAAAGTAAAAAAGAAGCTAAACATGATAAGCAACATGTAGTGATGTTGATGGTGGTGCGTAGAGCTGGGGGTAACAGACTGGTAATATGGATATGTTTAAGAAGATAAATCTCAACTGACTGTCTATCAGTAAACTGCACGGTAACTAAAGTTTAACTTGGTTAATTACATCTTTCCAATGATTGCTCAATCTGAATCTATCATCTCGGTTGAAGTTATGTCTGTGTTTGTATATCTGGATGGCCTCATGGACAAATATTTGGTAGTATCCAGGTTTGCAAAGTACCTTGGTATCTGAGAACACAATGTCATGCGAGCCAGCAGTATTATAACAGTTGTCAGCCACGACCGACGAATTCGTCTTGCCATGTTTCAAATCCGACTTGTGCTCGCGAATGCAGTCAGCAATGTGTCGTTTCGTTTCCCTGATATAGCAGTCACCATAGGTACAACTTAATCTGTAAACACCGGGGTACTGTAATTCAGGAATGGCGTCCTTTACGGATGGGATCAGATCACGGATTTTGTGTACTGTATTGAATCGGACCTGGATCTTGTGTTTGTTTAGAATTTTGGAAATGTTTTTGGTCACGCCTGCTATGTATGGCAACGTGATGGTTTTAATCAGAGTTTCAGGTGCTTGTTTCTGTATGGTGGGAGAAACAGCTTGGCGGATAGTGCGATCAGAGTATTCGTTCATCTTGAGGGCCCGATGTACATGCTTTAATTCACTGGCCAGGTGGTGTTGGTCAGAGATGCAATGAGCCTTATAGTATAGTATTTTGATGAGGGAATTATTTTGAGCCGGGTGGTGGTGGGAATCAGGCTTCAAGTAGGAATCTGTGTGGGTGGCCTTCCTGTAAACAGAATGACCCAAAGAGCCATCGGGCCTCCTCTCAAACAGAACATCCAAGAATGGTAGCTTGCCATCTTTCTCCACTTCCATGGTAAATTGGATGGATGGGTGTCTGGAATTGATGTGGTCCAGGAATTGGTTCAATGCTGTGAGGAATTGGTTCAGTGCCGTGAGGCCATGTGGCCTCATTGCATCTCTGACCAACACCACCTGGCCAGTGAATTAAAACATGTACATCGGGCCCTCAAGATGAACGGATACTCTGACCGCACTATCCGCCAAGTTGTTTCTCCCACCATGCAGAAACAACCACCTGAAACTCCATCCTGGCTCCTCCCCCCTTAACCAGTATATCAGGTCGTGCCTCTTGGGACTTCTCTTCACTTGATACAGCAATTTTGCTGTGACGGTTTCACCTGAAGACGGAAGCTTGTGTTGCCTCCGAAACGTCGTGATTTAATTGATTTGTTTTATTTTTTATCTACGTGACTTTACCGAAAAAACCAAAGAGTATAATATAAACGCTGCCTGGTTTACAAAACAAAAAGTGGACTCATATTTTAGACAATAACTATTATTAAATTGCTCCCTGCTCTAAAGCTAGGCCAATTTATTATTTTTTATAATGCGCTTATTTATTAAATAACTTTCTAGCGCAGCATTCGGAGATGCAATTTTTTTCATGGACGTTATACACATTATAACGAGTGACATGAGAATAATTAAGGTTTAACATTATTTATAGTCGCGTGCTGCTGTGTCGTTAAGGTCAACACACTGAACCTGTGAACGCAGAGGTCGACGGTTCAATCTCCAGGCGCGGCAGTTTAAACAATGGGGTGGCAAGTTTCTTAAACCCCCCCCCCCCCGTCGCCTCCAGCAGTGTGAATGGGTACAACACAGTCAGTCGGCAGGTGTGGTGGGGTCAAGTGTGGGCACTTCCACCTCTACCAAGAAGTCTGGCAAGTGTGGAAGAGTCGGCTAACGTACCCTGCAGAGGGTGTCTCTAGAGCTCTCTTCGAGGCCCACCCGCTAGCACTGACGTGAGCTAGCAAGCCTTCATATGTTGCATACAAACTGTCCTGATAAAAAATATATATTTTTATATATATATGAAAAGTTTAATCTTTTGGAATGTATTTTGTTTCAGTCTCTGATCACCTTCGTGAACAAACATCTCAACAAACTGAACCTGGAAGTGACCGAGCTGGAAACGCAGGTAGGCTCCCGTGCTCTGCCCTAAGCTCCTCTGCTGCTGGTGGAATACACAGTGAATGTGGGGCGCCATGGTGGCGAGATGTTAACTACCTCACGTGGTATGCAGGAGGTCTAGGGTTTGATCCCCACCCTGACGATGCCTGTATATTTGGAGTTTGTGTGTTCTCCCCATGGTCGTGTGGATTTTTCTTTGCATCCTCTGGTTTTTCCCTCCACATTTAGAATCAACACGCGTTTAGAGTATTTGGCTGCTATACATTTCCACGTGACGATAAACAACTTAATTCAGCTAACTGTTGTAGCCAGGTCACTTCTGAAAAAAGAGCTATATATAGCTCAGTGAGCCTTACCTGGTAAAATAAAAATACTTTTAGTTCATAGTTTGAAAAAATAGTAACCTGTGACCCAGAGTCGCCAGTGCTGCTCCATGTAGGCATACATTATTGATTCCATTTCTGGGAGCTTCACTCTGAATACATTTTTTATATGTCCAGGATATCGGTACACCTATAATTCCGGCATTCATAAGCTCAGATTATTCAAGCTAATATGCAAGTTAATACAATTAACTAATTACCCACCTAATTTATGTTTTTTTATCATTCGGTTACATGATCCTCAGCTCATTAAATAATTAATCTTAATGAACTATCTTTTATTCTCTTTAATATTTCCAGAAATTTATACTCGTGTATCCTGTTAATGAAAATAGCATTTGCATCTGAACAACCTGAACCTGACTCCGTTTGACACGTAGGTAAGCTACTGCACTGGAAATCGCCTGATGATGCTGGTTGCGACTACCAGCGAAACGTCATACCACATTGTTAAAAATCTTGTAGGCTGCTCTTCAACATTCTGGTGTGCTGAAACAATAAAAGAAAACAACTTGCACGTTTGTTCACGTGATAACTCAGTGTATTTGCCTGTGCCGGATGGAGGAGAGCGTAAGCTCTTTACTCACGTGGCAATCTGACCCAACTGTGCCGCACGCTCTCCCACATGGCCTTGTGGGAGCCTCGGTACTGATAAAAGTTTCTTTTATTTTATTAAAACCAAAATAAACTGATGACGTGCACATACGTCATCGGAATGGCAAAGGGTGAATATTTGGAGGACTACAGAGCCAGGGCAAGTGTTGGCACCAGCTCATCGCATGACGACCTTCCTGCCTGTCCGTGGTTCCTTGCATCCTGTGAGTTGTTCTCTCTCTATGACAGTGAGCGAACACTGTATGACGGCTCATTATGAGTTTAAATTGTTATTGAAGGTTATTCTGTGTATAGATGCTTTGTTAGTAATGGTCTGTTTTTCTGGTGAGCTCATCGATTGGATCTGTTGCTTCACAGTTTGCGGACGGGGTGTACCTGGTGTTGCTCATGGGCCTACTGGAGGGATACTTCGTGCCGCTGTACGGATTTTACTTAACGCCCGATAGTTTCGATCAGAAGGTAACGCGCACAATCGGTCTCGGCAGTCTCTCGCGTCACGGCTTCTGTGCACGCCCACTCCTCGCGCTCTCTCCCCGGGCTCCGTTTGTAACCCTACCACGGCCTTCCTCCTTGCCGCCATTGACCATTGCCCATGGAATCATAATCAGAAAATGTAGTTATACTGGAAGAATCTGACGAGCTATAAAGCTCGTTTTCACAGATGTCCAGTCGGGGCGGGTAAGAACGTAAGAATGTTACAACAACAAACTATAAAAAACATGCTTTAGGCCAGTTCATTGATGGCAAATGTTTGACACACAAATGGAAAGCGGAAGAAACTGTCCAGTGGTTATCTCTTCCCCGCCCCCTCTTCCCCCCCCACCCCCATATATAAGCTTCCCTCCCCCCCCCACCCTGACGGAAGATCCTCAGGTTGGGGCATCTCGGCGACCACCCCCCACCCAAGGATGGCTCTGAAACGCCGATAGCCCCCCACCCTCCCCCCCTCCAGAAACCATTGGCGCATTGTATCATAAATAAATACAAAGAGGAAAGTATATATTTTTAAAAACTCAGTGTGCGACTGGTCACCCAGAACAGAACAGACCATGGGAACGTATCGCAGCTCAATACCCAATAAACGAACACGAAGGAGCCATCGTCACAGCGATACACTCGGCTACTCCTGACAGCAACTATCTGGTTCAAGCACCTCAATGTAAAGTTATAGTTACCGTTGAATCGGAACGGAAGAAGTTTGAGAGGTTTCTGTTATGTTGCAATGCTAAAGGAATGTTGGGGTTTGGAAGGTGGCACAGTGGTTGTAACTTTGCTTTCCACACCTGGGGACGTGAGTTTGATTCCCGGCCATTGCTAACATTGGCGGTCAGTATATCTGAACTGGTCCTGCGTTCCCTTTCACCAACCTGCCCTGACCAGCGCGGTGACGTTTGATCGAGCAACTCCCAGATGGCTTGGGGGGGAGGCCTTCGTCCAGTCGTGGACTGACAATTTTGGCTGTGTAAGAAATGCAGACCAGTATATACACATTATTATTATTTTATTTCTATTATTTTTTAACTTTTATTATTTATTTTTACCTACGTGACTTTACCGAAAAACCTTAGAGTATAGTATATACACATATATATTGCACAGCTCCACACCAACCAATTCTCAATATGTGGTTGAAACCGTTTAAGTAGGATTCAATATGGAATGCATAACCAGTACACAGCAATAAAATATTACCATTGAAGCAGCTTTAATTAGTTACATTGGTGCTTTATCAATCAACTGCTGCACGATGGCTTCCACATGCCGTGTTGGTCATGGGGGTTTGTTTTCCCATACTTCACCGTGATGGTCAATGCGGGTTGGTGAAGAGGGAGAGCCCAGGGCCGGTTTAGACGTCAATTGCCCTCCTGGGCTACGCGCCGACCACTGCGCCATTGCTCCACTCCTACTATAAGGTTATCACTTGGAGCCCAGGGCCGGTTTTTCCTTCCACATTTAGAATCAACATCACGTGTTCACAGTATTTGGCTGCTGCTGTACATTTCCATGGGACAAGCCACTTCGTTGAGCTATCATTTGTGGCCAGGTCGCTTCTGTAAAACAGCTATGTATAGCTCATTGGGCCTTACCTAGTAAAATAAAAAAGTGTTCTTTTATCAACTTCTTATCTTTTATCTTACTCCTCTTTGCTCCCTCTGGAGCAGAAGGCCGCAACAAGCCCACGCAATGCCGGACGGTCGTTAGCAGCTTTCTCTGCTTCACTCCAAGATGGGCCTATGGTCTTTAGTTTTTTTTTATCAGCTTGCTACTGTACATTTAGCAAACTTAGAATGTATTAATATATTGAGTTCAAATGTAAATATAGAATTGGTTTAAATCATGTGTATATTGTAATGTAAGTTGGTTGAACTTCTTTTGCACAATATGAAGCCAACCGCGCTAATATTGCATTGCGGTTGCTTATGTTTGACAAGATGGTAAAGAGTTCATGATGTCTCAGTCGGTGGCTATTGAAGGTCGCGACTCGTCTTTAACAGTTGACTATTCAAGATACTCCACTCTATGACTTTCAACACTGGTAACAACAATTAACACATTAAACATCGGTCAAACTTAAAAGTAAAAACTAAATAGTGAACATTACATTTGATGTGAAATCTGTCGCGTTCGAGGCTTCTACTCCAAAATCGACCTCGAATGTGTGCCAGGTCCACAACGTCACCTTTGCCTTCGAGCTGATGCAGGACGGCGGGCTGGGCAAACCCAAGGCGCGTCCTGAAGGTGAGGACCCCGATGGCTTCGGTGATCACTCGTTGCCTCTCAGCTCTGTGTTTTGTTGCCGGGGATGCCGCCGTGATCCTAGCAGTCGGCACACCGGACTTTACCATCCAAAGGTCGCAGCTTGCACCTGCCAATGCCAACAGCTGAAGCAGTCGGGCAGCGGTGGCCAACCCGGCGTTTGCCCAAAGCCACCTCGTGCGGCTCTGTCGAAGGGGCGTAATGTCGACAAAGATCCCCCGTATAGGCTGAACAGACTGTTGGGGCAAGTGCTGTTATCCTATGAAGGCCGGGACGGCACACAAAGGAGTGGGGGGGCCAGCACCACGCCTGGCCGCCTTTGTCTACACACCACACCAGATACTCATTTGAGGCTGAGTCGACCTAGGGGAGGCCCATGACTAGTTAAGATAATCGTCATTGGTGTTGGTGGCAGTGAGTGGGAATGGATCCCGAGTCGCCGGATTCATAGCGCAGCTCGCTAACCACGACACTACCGCTCCCCATAAGGTAGACCATTCTATCACAGTCGCAAAAACAATAATGAATATCTCTCATGCTGTCAATATACTTTTATATATATATTGACTTGGCTCTTTGCAGAACTCACGGATACTTTTTGGCTCTTGGTCTGTTACAGGTTGGCCACCCCTGCAGTAGTGCAAGCTTCGTAACATCCCCCCCCCCCACCACCACCTCTGTCCACCACAGTTCATCAGCAGTGTCTGTGTGTGGTGGGGCAAAGTGTGGGTACTCCCACGTTTGTTTTCGAGGCATCTGACCAGCGTGGAAAGAATCGGCCTCATTGTCCTGTAGAGAGGCTCCAGAGTGGCCTCAAGTGGAGGCCCTTCTGCCAGCAGTGGCACGAGCAAGTAATTGCAGGGCTGGACCTTTGCCTTTTATTCATTATTATTTTAAGGGCTGGAACTCCCCACCTAGGTACTTGACACTGGAGAGGCCAGGTTGTTGGCTGAACCCCGTCTGGCTTTTTCCAGGCTGTGGGCTCAGCTCAGAAATCCCATTCCCCGTATCTCATCCCGATCAAAAGCCGTGAGTTGAACAGCTCCGTCACTCTCGTATGTTACTAGCAACAGTAGCACCTCACATGGGCATTATTTATCAAAGCATGACAGTAACTAGATTATGGAAAAACAGGTGTTAAGATGTTCAAACACCAAATAGAAACCTTTTGCAAGGAATCACGTCTGCATTAACCACACGCACTTGTGGTGAGCATGCAAACAAACATGCTCTGATAATATACGCAGTATCTTTGATACTGGCAAAAAGGTCCCATGAGACGTTAATTACCTAATTTCTAATTGATCCTGTTGTACATCCACTTGTAGTCACCCAACATTCAGGGTTCCCTTGTGAGATGGTGCTCGAAGCTCAAATGGGCGAATGTCGAAATAGTGATCGATAACGCTGTAGGAAACTGGGTTATAACAGGGCATCCTCTGGGTTAGACTTTCTTCTGCCTGATGACGATTGCTTGCCTTCCGATCGAAACGTCGTGATCTATTATTTTTTCTACCTACGTGACTTTACCGAAAGAACCAAAGAGTATGGTTATGACACGTTCTTTCACGACCAATATTATCCATTATAAAGGGGGGGGGGGGGAGGGTTTGGGTTAGATCGCGTGAATATAAATGTGTTCTTAAACCTGCCACCACCCAACAGCCAATTAGTAAAGTTTGAGTACTTAAATTGTAAATGTTGTGGGTTTACTCTCCAACACACCGGCGTGCTGAAGTTGAAACGAATTGGCACGTTTTGTTTACGTGACAAACCTTACTTATTGGTTGTGTCGGTGGTGGAGGGTTTAACAACACATTTATATTTACGCGATCTAATAAAAAAAACCTTCATTATGGTGTACTGGGATCATGGACATACTTGCATTAATGGGATCTTCCATACCTTCAAGAGCAGGTTCTGTGGTGAGCCGGATAACTCCATCCTGGGTCTAAAGTTTTCCCAGAGTCTTGTAATGATATGACCCCCTCGTGCATTCAAATCCAAGTCAAGCATTAACTTGTGAGGGTGAGATGACTGTACAGGATGTTCCATGTGTCTTGTGTGACCCCCCCCCCCCCCATTGAACTATCTAACACTTCATATTTTTAAAGGTTTTATTTAACACAGAAATGAATATGCAAAGGGAAAAAATAAGGTGTTCAAATAATTATAATTGGGGCTGACAAGACATCTGGACCAGCCCTGTCGAGTGGCGCCATCTTAATGTTGCACGCGGCTCATTTCTGTTGGTTGGCCTGGGTCCGTGGTGGCATTAAGAAGAAACAAATCCAACTTGATGATGCATCGCTTGAGAAAAAGTGTTCTTGTTAAAATGTTATTGATGTTACAAGCACTGTTTTTTTTTTCTTCTGATTTTGTAAACAGTTAAGAAAGATTCATTTAAGGCCAAATATAAGTTGCATTTTTCTTATCTTAATATCATTTATTTAGCGCCTTAACTGAGGTGCTTTACAGAGAATTAAGAATGGTACATACGCATGTAATGGCGGAGATGAGGTGAATGAAATAGATTGAGAGGAGGCAATGGGCGAATCTGTAATGCGTGAATTTGGTGAAAGCGAAATTTATGACAGTAACTGATGATTAATGGATTGAATGACCGGGAAATGAGTGATGGCCATATAATGCGAATACGAGGGGACAGTGATTGTGGTGGTTATGAGGGGGTGGGATTCAGGGGTCGAGGGGTGAGCTCGGGGGAAAAAAGTGAGTTTTGAGGGAGGAGCGGAAACTCGTGAGCGAACGCGACAGCTGAGTGTGGAGGGGACGTTTGTAGTTTCAGGTGATGTCCCCCTCTCGGTCTAAACTATAAATGTGGCAGTGTCAAGTGCACACAAACGATAGGTGCCAAAATGTGATCGTGCTTTGGAGCCACTGTCACTGCAGGTCGTGGCTTGAGTCATTTGGAGATGATTATGTTTTTGTTGATGTAAAAAAGGGAAGTTTGTCAAATGGGCCTTCCTGTGGTCACGCAAACTGTTGTTTTGTCTCCGGAGTAAATATTTCCAAATATCACGGACACGTGAATTCGAACAGTTAACGGGGCATGGTATCAGTTGCTTTCTTGCTTCCGATTTGCATTACCTCTGCCATTATGGAAACTCGTTGAATATTCCCACATTTGTATCTTGCAATTTATTGTAACATAAGCCTGCCTCTCAACCCAACGCAGATGTGGTGAACCTCGACCTGAAGTCGACCCTACGAGTATTGTACAACCTCTTTACAAAGTACAAGCATCTGGATTGATGGCTGCTGCGGTCTTTCGAGTTTACGCATCCACACCACCGCCTGCATTTAGATCTTCCCTGCCAACGCAAACGTCCAAGACTCGTGCGCAAATCTTCAGAAGGTTACATTTAGAAACAATGTATTTGTTACAGCAGATTCTAGTTTTTGGTTACAAAATGCATTGTTAATCTGCGCATCCGATATTAAACTGTGTTTTTTACATTATTACACCTCATCACAATAACCACAGGTTTTTAAAGACACTGCAATAAACAGGCATATTACAGTAGTCCCTCGGTTAACGTTTTTAATCCGTTCCACAAAAACTATTCTTAACTGAAATAACTGTTAATTTAATATAGGAAACACATGTTAAAAGCATTAATTCGTTCCAAGATGATCAAAAGATTACCTTTTTGATCCTAAAAACTAAGTTTATAAGGCTAATTACTTTCCTACTCTTTTCCTTTTGCGAATTCACTTTAGGGGGCATTGCGTTTACTATTAATTCACCTGTGAGTTGAAACTGAAGTAAAAATCACTGAGTCTGCAAGAGAGCTGTTTCCACTGCCAAGACAACGTAACGTAAACAAAGCTAATGGAGGTCGAAACGCTCATAAATGGGCATCGCTGATTGGCAGAGGGCATGGCTCAGCCCCATTTACGAGCGCTCGGATTGGCCGAAATCGGCACCCGCGTGCATAACGTAAACGTGCCATTAATCAAGATTTTTACGTTCGTCAAAACCATGGGGTCCTACGGGAGGCAAAACGTGAACCGAAAAGCCGTTCACCAATGTCACTGTTATCCGAGGGGCTACTGTAATTGCAAAACACAATGCATGCCATTAATCAATAACTCCTCTTATCCAAACACTGCTGTTGAAGAATAGAGCACATTTGATAGAAGGCTATACTGGAAAAGTGTAAAGATTGCATGTATACACTGTAGTGTGCAGACATTACCTCTCCACTCCACACTTGGTATAGCTTGATGACACACGTGAATGCTGTTCATCATTGGGCATGAGGTTACCAGCGCAGATGGAAGATTTGGCAAGTCTGTTCGTGCAGCCAAGAACATCGCTTAAGCAGGGAGAATGCCAATTGAAAGAAAGCACGGATGCACGTCCAATGCTTCAACCGGTTACATTTCAAGAGATTTTTCTTCCTCGTATGGCCGATGTTGATGTCGAGGAACCACTTTTACATTGAGGTGGTTGAGCCAGATAATTGTCAGGGGTAGCGGAGTGCATCACTGTGATTATGCCTCTTAAGTTCCCTTCTGTTATCGCCACACCACGGTTTTAATATAATTTTCGAGGTTTGGATGAGTTTATTGCATTTCAAGGCAACTTGTGTTTAGGGCAGAGCATCTTACCCATAAAATGATAACCCACATTTTACCAGTGCACTTACCACTTATGTTGCCTTACACATTAAGAGTAAATGAAGCAATACCGACTATCCCCTAAATTGCCTGAAACAATTATAAAAAAAATTAAAATTGAACGGTCTGCTAAAACCATTCCATAATTTGTAAAAAAAAATTTAAAAAATCAGTATTACACTTCACTGTGGTATCAGTTGGCGAGTTCCATACTAATTAAGATTTGCCTTCACAAGAGTTTTAATCAGTTTCACTGTGAGATTGCACACGTTCCATCGGTAATTCACGTAGACATCTACTTCTATGCAGTTTCTATTTGATGTTAATAAAAAATAGGACATTGCCTAAGGTTCCAAATGGTGGACCAGATTGACACGAGAAAAAAACGATACGCTTTATGTACATTACTTGTTATAGGGTTGTGTGTTTTGAATGGCAGTGGCAAATTCCAAGTTTGGAGACCTGGAAGCTCAGGGTTTTTTTGTCCATCCCTTGAGAACTAGCTTGGTGATGACTACCCAGCGTTTCATCAGAATCTACGTTGTCTCCGCGTCTCATCATTTTGCAATTTTTAAACTCAACAAAAAAAAGCCAGAGGTGGATTTTGCCAGTTCCATCTCACGAAAGGATGAGGGCACTATTTAACGCGACTCTTCATGAGCAGATTCAGGCAGCAGGGCCCAGTGCCACATTTTCATGCATTTTAAATATATATCTAAAGAACATGTATCATGACAATCATTGACGGACACGAGTACGCGGTGTGCGTGATTTGCATCAAGCGTCCGATTCAAGTGTTTGCTGAAGGGAAGTTTTTACGAAGGTTTGGCAGGATAAAAACATTGTCACCAACCATTGCAAAACTGCCACGATGCCAATTCATTAAATAGACCGTGTATACGCCAACAAATGTACTTTATATGTTTAGCTTTTAAATCTAAACTGTTATTTATCACGCTTTAACATTGTATGCTTGCGCTATATGTTATTCTTACATGTATATTTTAATACACCCAATATATTAAGTATATAATTTCTTGCCATTCTATAATAGAATTTTTAAAAAAATGTTGACAGTTGCCACATGTTACAGTCACACCTCTAGGAATTCAGATCTCTCGTTTTCGCTGGATTAAAGTTCTGTGTTTTTATGTTTAAATATAAAACGCTCTCTTTATCCAAGATGACAATGAGGGCGGTTGAATTAAGGGACGATAATAGAAATGTGACCAGTTTTTTTCTCTTTACATTTTAATGAATTATACGTCTCGCACAATATATTTTAAACACTACGAAATAAAAACTGAATGTCTCGGTTGTGATGGTTTTGGTTGCGTGATAAATTCTAAGAATGCGTGCTAACTAGTTTTAAAGATTATCTGAGAGCCGAATAACAAAACTACGAATATCTGTGATTGGTTAAAATGTTTAGTTCCATCATACCATGATACTCCAATCTGTGCACCAACTTTGATGATTTCACCGCTCACAACTGTGTATTTGTAGATGCGATATATAATTAACAGAATGAATGTGTCCAGAACGATTTGATATGATGAAAATGTGTGGTAGATACAATAGAGTACAGCAGTTTACATACACGGGGGGGTGGGTGATGTAGTGGTTTATCACGGGGGGGGGGGGGTGATGTAGTGGTTTAACACGCGCCAAGGGGGGTAACTGCACACACGTACGTGTGGGGTACAGTGGGGTCATGTCGGGACATGCTGCTATTGTTGGGGGCCAACGGGTGAGTCGGAGACGGCCCGTTAGCCAATTATGGATGCAGGGCAGTGATTGGCCGGTTGTTGTTGTTGGGTACAAGGTGGCGCCTCCAAGTCTGGGAATGGAGACAGGTGGCGGCGGGGGGCAAGGGGCGTCGGGGGGATGCCAACTAATTAATTGGAAATGAATAGGGACATGGATAAATACAGGGATGTCAGAGAGACGGGGAGTTGGGGGTTGGAGTTGAGTTGAGATGTGCCTGGGAGCTGGATGGAGATGGTCAGAGCAGAAGACGAAGATACTAGAAGAAGCAGAGCAGCAGTGGAGTAGGAGAAGTATAGAGAAGCAGTGGAGTAAAGGAAGTATAGAGTAGCAGTGGAGTAAAGGAAGAAGCATAGAGTAGCAGTGGAGTAAAGGAAGAAATATAGAGTAGCAATGGAGTGAGGCGGAGAAGCCACGAGAGAGCGGCTGGAGTGAGACGAAGAAGCCGCGAGAAAGCGGCTGGAGTGTGACAGAGAAGCAAAGAAGGGAGTCGGGAGAGACGGAGAGAGAAGGAGGATCGGAGCGAGCGAGGCCGGCGGAGCGCGGCGAGCGAGCGGAGAACGCGCTGGAGAATGGTGGCAAAATATGCTGTGTTGGTAAAATAAAAGGACGACAGAAAAGCAAGAAGTTGTCTGCGTAAAGTTCAGCACTACAACTGGTGTCGGAAGTGATTGCTGAACAGCGCCGATATGTCGAAGAAATCGGCTAAACAAAGGAAAGTACCGGCGGACTCGTCGGCCAACAGCAGCGATGCAGACATGGTGCCTCCATCGGGGCTAGAGGTTGCCTGCTTCCCCGGCGGACCTGGACGATCGGTTGCCTCCGGGGCAGGAGGGCGACCCTGACGATGCAGAAAACCCGAGCCTGGTTCAAGAATGGAGGGCCGTTATGGGCCAGTGGGAGGCCAAGCTGGCGATGCTCACAGAGGCGTTCGACCGCTTTATGGTAACGGAACGAGTGGCGCCGATGGTGTCGGGCCAGTCCCCACACGGTCCTGCGCCACCGGTGGTGGCCGACGACGCGGCCGCGACTCCCGCTACACCACGGACGGAGCCAGACGCCGGGTTCATGACGCCGGCTACATGTGGAGCGCTTCGAGGCAAAAGTCGACGACTGGACGGCATTTACGCGGCGCTTCCGAGCAGCGTATGAATCGCTCGGCTGGGCGGAGAGCGATACGCTACGGGCCCTGCCGACGGCCCTGGATGACGATGCCCTGGTGGCGTTCTACAGCATCCCTGCTAAAGTCCGCTCATCGCTGGCGGGGGTATTCGCGGCTATGCAGGACATTTACGAACTGCAGTCAGTTGCCAAGCGGAAATTTCAGTTGAGAAAGCGGGCGGACACGGAGTCTCCCCTCGCTTACCGCAGCACACTATTAGCTCTCGGCAGGCGGCTTACCCGGCAATGGACCATGCCGCTCTTGACTCTCTGGCCCAGGAGAAGCTGCTGCTGATGGCAAAGGAGCTGCGGGTTGTCCTTTCGCTTCCCAGCAACAGCGACGACGAAATGTCGTCTTTGCAGATAGCCAGGAACATTGAAACCAACCTGGATCTTCGTGACAAACCAATGGCGGTGGCGGCGCAGCCTTTGGTGGTGTGCGCCGGCGCGGCTGGGTGCCCGATGGAGTTGGAGGAGCCAGGGTCGCTTGCAGCGGCGGCCGGATTGCCGCCCGCGGACGTGCTACGAGTGTGGGCGACGAGGACACTTCCCCCGGGACTGCTGGCGACGCAGAGGCGCTTTTCCAAGGGCGCCGGGCGACTACAACCGCGGATTTCCCCCATTCCGGGGTCAACAGGCAAGTCGCGACACATTTAATACACGGATGTTTCCTCCACATCACCCATCCGTGCTACCGTATTTTGTAACCACTCATTCGTACGAGTCGCACGGTAATGCTGTATGGGGCGCGTTAGTACATCGCGTTTTGGGTGCCGCGCCGGGTTTGTCGGACGTGATGGTGCTTGTTCAAGGGGTGCAAGTCAGGGTAATTGTCGATACGAGGGCTTCGGCGACCCTCATCTCCTTGCAGACTTTTCGCTCGTTGCCAACCTCGCCCCAGGCCTTGGAACCAGTTGATGGCCCGTGTATAGCAGCAAATGGGGGTAGCCTGGGAATTTTGGGTCGCATGCTCGCAACGATTCAGATTGGAGAGGTGTGCGTGACGGGATACATTTTGGTTTCCACTGCCCTGGCCGTACCGTGTTTGTTGGGCATGGATTTTTTGCAGAGAATGTCGCTCAAAATCTCCATAGAGAAGGGATGTTTGGAATTGCCATCGGGGAAATGTCTTAAATTTTTGGGTACTCCGTCTAAATTTGCAACTGCAAACGCCGTGGTGCAGGCGGTAGTCGCACGGTACGCGTTCCACCTGCGACGCAGATGCTCGTGCCGTTGCGCTTGAAAAATGGTCTGCCGTTGGACAACCCGCGGCAGGGTATATTGTTAACGCCGTCAAACGCTGTGTCACGGACGTGATGGTGCCGGCAAATTGCGAACCATTCATACAGATTGTCAATACGGGGCACGAGCCTGTTGTTATTCAAGAGGGGACTACGCTAGTGCATGCGTCGGCGGCGCGGAACTCAGACGTGGAGGTGTGCTTGGCAGTGAGCGAGGGAGATGCGCTGCCACAGTGTGACGAGGAACCGGACTGGTTACGGGATTTGTACGAGCAAAATGATGATTTGACACCCGAGCAGCGGTTGCTTCTCCGCAAACTGCTTTTGGAATTTAAGGACATTTTTAGCTCAGGGGAATATGTTGGTCGTACGTCCTTGTTGCAGCATCACATTGAGACTAGAGATGCAGCTCCGATTCGCCTAAATTCCCATCGTATAAGTCCGCTGGAAAAGGATTGTATTCGGAAAACGGTAGACGAGATGTTGGAACAGGATATCATCTCTCCTTCTTCCAGCCCGTGGGGGGCTCCCATCATACTGGTTAAGAAACGTGATGGGTTCCTGTGATTTTGCGTCGATTATCGCAAGCTAAATAAGATTTCGGTAGCAGATGCGTACCCGCTTCCACGCATTGATGACTTATTGGACGCCCTGTCCGGCACAACATTTTTCTCGACCCTCGACCTCTTGTCGGGCTTTTGGCAATTTCCCCTGGACGAAGAGTCTAAGCCGAAAATGGCCTTCCGAACACCGCAGGGATTGTTCCATTTCAACGTGTTTCCGATGGGGCTACACTCCGCGCCGGTCACCTTCCAATGACTGATAGAACTCGTATTGTCTGGATTGCAGTGGGAGTCGTGTTTGATATACCTTGACGACGTCATTGTGTTCAGTAAAGATTTTGAAGGGCATTTGCAGCGGTTGCGTGCTGTGTTTGGCTGGGTTGGGGGTGCCAATTTGAAATTTAAGCCCCAAAAGTGCCACTTGTTGAGGACATCTGTCAAATATTTGGGTCATGTCAGCGTGGCGGGAGTCGCCACTGATCTGGACAAAACGAGCTGTGTACGCATGTGGCCAGTGCCGAAAATGGTGTCGGTGGTGCGTACCTTTGTGGGAATTGCGTCGTACTACCGCCGATTTGTCAAAGATTTTGCCACGATTGTGAGGCCGCTGCATACACTGACCGCCAAGGGCAAAAAGTTCCTCTGGAGTGACGAGGAACAGCGTTCGTTTGAGACGCTTCGGGACGCTTTAGCAGACGCGACGCCGCTCGGATATCCGGATTTTACCGAGATGTTTATTCTTCTTCTTGGTTCTTTCGGTAAAGTCACGTAGAAGGGAAATCATAAAATAATAAAAATAAAACGTAATAAAATACAATTCTCATGACGTTTCGGCCACAACGCAAGCAGCCGTCCTCAGGTGAAGAACAGGTCTGTCGGAAAGACAGCGTCTGAATGAAAACCACCAAGCTTGGCAGCGTATATTTAAGCTGGGTTAGAGGAGGAAGGGCGCCTAGACAAAGGAATTTGAATATCAACAGAGGAATTTAGCATATGGAAAATGCAGATATGGGATTAGTTACTACTTGTGGAATGTGTAGGAGGTGGTGGGGGCCTCAGTTATATTAGGCTCGTGGATTATGTAGGATTAGCAGTAATAAAGGGAGGAAGTAGGGTTAGCAGTAATAAAGGGAAGGAATTTTAATAGTAAGGAGCTGCAGCAGCTAAACCACCACGTAAAAAACTAAAATATAAACTACATCAGTATCATCAATATACTAAATATACTCTCCAATAAGCTGAGCTATTAACAGTAAGTCATACATTACAATTCTACGTCGAAAAAAATATAATATGCCTCCAGCTAAACTTTTTTCTCTTACATTACACCGGTCTACCCCGTACTATATACTGCCATAGACAAACCCAACATTAAATTATATACTGCATTACTATACACCACCCTATACCTTAGACTATACATTGTAATATTACACTATGTATTATTCTACCCCCCCTACTGTATACCATACTGCTGTATATTCACTATACAATTACGATACTATATATTACCTTATACATTATATTAAACATTACACTTTTATACTATTTATTATTATACAATCTGCTATACACTATACCAGGG